TCACCCTGGCCGTTTTGGTGACCACCATTACCTCGGCCACCACGTCCTCCAGAATGACGACCTCTTCCATGACCACCTCTACCTCTGACTATTGGGGGTCTGTAACTCTGTTTTGGGCAAAACCTCCTAATATGTCCAGTCTCCCCACATACATAACACTCTCTGAATTCAAGCATAGGTCTCTGTGAGAATGATGAAGTCTGGGGGTAACCTCTAAACTAAGAGAAATGTTGACCGGTCTGCGGTGGACCCCCAGCTACAGCCTGCAGTGAAGACTGAATAGGTCGGGCTGGGTAACTTCCTGAACTCTGCCCTTTGGAGTAAGAACCACTAAACTCACCTCCCTTACGAAACTTCTTAGTTGTTGATGCCAGGGTGAAGTCATCTGGCTTCACTCCCTCTACCTCTATCACAAAGTCTACCACCTCTTGAAAGGATTTTGCTGCAGTAGCTACCTGTAAGGCTGGAATCTGCAAATATGACCTCAATCCCTTCACAAAACGGTGAATCTACTCTTGTGTACTGGAGCAAAGTTGGGTGGCATACCTGGACAATGCATGAAATTTATCCTTATAAGCAGTAACCGACATCCTGCCTTGCTCTAGGCTCAGGAACTCATCCCTCCTCCTATCCCTCAAAGTCCGGGGTATATACTTTTCCATAAATAAGCTAGAGAATGATATATACTTTTCCATAAATAAGCTAGAGAATGATGCCCAACTCATAGGTGGTGTCTGTGCTGGTATACACTCAACATACGATCGCCACCACATTTTGGCATTTCCCTGAAACTGATAGGTTACAAACTCAACACCGAATCGTTCCACTATGCCCATCTTATGAAGCAACTCATGACAATCGACCAGAAAATCATAGGCATCCTCAGATTCAGCACCCTTGAAGACTTGAGGTTTCAATTTCAAGAACTTACTGAAAAGTTCGTGCTGATCCCTCGTCATTATAGGCCCTGTAGTCAATCGAGGAAACGTGCCTATTTCCAATGAGGCATCCATGCGGGGAGCCACATCAGCTGCATGTTGTACTCTCGGAACCTGAGGTGCTGGTGCAGAAAACACAGGAGGTGCTTGGCCTTGATCGGGTAACTCGCTAAGATAAGCAAGAACCTGATTAATCATCTCTGGGGTAGGTGGGGGTGGTAATTCCTCATTCTGAACTTGCTCATTTTCCCCTTCCTCACCCTCTCTTACTACTTCCTCAGTCGGTGGAGGAGTCACCGCCCTAGCACTAGATGGGCCAGGTGCTTGTGCTCTTCCTCTAGAGGACGTCCTTCCGCGACCTCTACTACGACCTCTTGCCACTGCTCCTCTTCGACCTACAGCCTCAGTGGCTGGTTCAGACGCATCTTGTCTTGCCGGTGTTGGTGTTGGTGTTGGCGCAGTTGTTGCTCTAGTTCTAACCATCTGCAAAATAGAGTGAAGATGGTCAGATACCAATTTATATCACCTAGATACCAATTGGATCCAAGTAATAGCACGAAAGAAAGAAAGAATGGAATTTTCCAAAAGTCCAATAGCCTCTCAAGGAAAAGTAAAGGCGTCCCCCTACCGTTCCTCAAGACACTACTAGACTCGTTCTTATGTGATGAGACCAACGAACCTAATGCTCTGATACCAAGTTTGTCACGACCCAAAACAAGCCGCAAGTGGCACCCACACTTACCCTCCTATGTGAGCGAACCAACCAATCTAAACCCCAACATTTCAACCATAATAAACAGAAAAAAATAATGCGGAAGATTTAAAACATTATTAATATACCCAATAAATAACTTCTAAAATTCAATACTTATTGTTCTCAAATTCTGGAAGTCATCACCACAATAACATTCTATCCTCAAACTACTAAATCTAAGAGTATCTGGGAAGCTAAAACAAATAAAAGAGGTAGTCCATGTCCGAACTTCAAGGACATCAAGACATGAATAGAGAGAATCTAGTCCGAGCTAGGAACATAGCTCACCCTGAAATCTTATTATGCTGAGGTCTGGCTAGAGTTGCGGTTGAGTTGTAGTCGACGGTACGTTTGCTGCACTCCACAAATAACAAAGAGAAAACATACAAGTAGGGGTCAGTACAAGGCACAAGTACTGAGTAGGTATCATCGGCCAACTCAAAATAGAAAGCAATATATATAAGGTAATAACATAAAATCAGCCATAACACTTAACAGGTTACAACAACAAGTACCATAACCATTGGCCACAACCCAAGCACATCTATGAGGACTCAAGCCTCCACACCATACTCATTTAGGAATTAGTTCCTCAAACCTGAGTATATTAGCATAATTCAAGATTCATTCTCTTTACTATCCTGGTGTCGGAACGTGACACTCCGATACCCTCAATATTTATTCATCTTACTATCCTGGTGTCGCAACGTGACACTCTGATCCCCTACTATCCTGGTGTCGAAATGTGACACCCGATCCTCTACTATCCTAGTGTCGGAACGTGACACTCCGATCCTCTACTATCCTGGTGTCGGAACGTGACACTCTGATCCTCTACTATCCTGGTGTCGGAATGTGACACCCGATCCTCTACTATCCTGGTGTCGGAACGTGACACCCGATAATCTACTCTCATTCTTTTTGTTCATCAAGCCTTCTTTTATACCAAGGAATCATCATTAACAAAGAGGTTTTTAAGGTTTAAGATTCAACAACCTCATCATGCTTATTTTATCACAATCATATAATCAGATCATGCAAACACACAATTAAGCATATAGAAGACTTTACGAAATTACTTATACATATCAATCGCTATTTAGAGTTTACTATGGAATAGCATAAACCATAACCTACCTCCACTGAAGAATTCGTGATCACGCAAGCTACTCCTCAAGGTCTTTGCTTTCCTCTTCGTTCTTCTCTCCCTCTCGCTCGTTCTCTCTTCTTTTTCTCTATTCTTTCTATTTTTTCTTATTCAAACTCTTTTCCTTTACCCTAATTACCATATAATTAAGTATAAAAGATGGTAAAATTAACCCACTAATTAATTCAAGGTTATCTCCTTTAACCCCCAAGTAATTGAATTATTATCATTCAACCACTAACTTTATAATTATAAGCAGGAATAGTCCAACACCCCTTAAAACTTTTAACAGAATTTCGACCTAGTCAGGGTTACGCAGCCTGTGATGGTCCGTCGTGCCTGCGACGGTCCGTCCTGCTGAGTCGTCATAGAGTTCAGAGACTCAATTTTATTAAAGAGTCTGTGACGGTCCGTCGTGCCTACGACGGTCTGTCCTGCTCTTCCATCACGAAGTTCAGAGAGTTGTTCTCAGTACCTAATTTTCCCAGAGTCTAAGTGTTTTGGAACGAGACACCCTCGACGGTCCGTCGTGCCCATGACGGTCCGTCGTGGGATCCGTCGACCCAGACTACTATTACCAGAATAAACTCTACTGCTCAAAACGACTAAACAGGTCGTTACAATATATTGATGATATATTATTATATTCTAATACACAAGATGAACACATAAGATTATTAGAAAAATTTATACATATAATACAACACTCAAGAATAAGTTTAAGTAAAAAGAAAGCAGAAATAATGAAAAAAATAGAATTCCTAGGAATACAAATAGATAAAAATGGAATAAAAATTCAAACGCATATAGTACAAGAGATAATAACCTCAAATGAACAATTAGATACAAAAAAGAAATTACAATCCTTTTTAGGATAAGTTAACCAAGTAAGGGAATATATACCAAAATTAGGTGAAAACTTAATACTATTACAACAAAAATTATAGAAAGACGTAGAATACCATATTGATAATAGAGATCAAACACAAATTCAAAAGATAAAATTATTATGTAAAACATTACCGAAATTATATTTTCCGGATGAAGATAAAAAATTTATTTATATAGTAGAAACTGATGCAAGTGGAAAGAGTTATGGAGGAGTATTGAAATATAAATATGATAATAGTAATATAGAATATCATTGTAGATATTATTCAGGAACATATACAAATACGGAAATAAAATGGAAAATAAATAGAAAAGAATTATTTTCTACATATAAATGTTTATTAGCATTTGAGCCATATATTGTATATAACAAATTTATTGTAAGAACATATAATACACAAGTAAAATGGTGGTTAACCAAAAAAATACAAGATTCAGTATCCTCAAAAGGAATTAGAAGATTGGTATTAAATATATTAAACCTTACATTTACAATTGAAGTAATAAAGACTAACAAGAATGGTGTTGCAGACTACTTATAAAGACAAAGCTACTCAGATTGAGAACAAAAATGAAGATACAATCGAAGAGCTACTCAAAGCCATTACTATACTTTGTACCAAAGTGGACAGAATGGACACTGAGATACAAAAGCTAAAAACTAATGAAGATAACCTGAAGTCTAAAGCTAATATAAGTCAGCAGCATGACTATAAAAATGCGGAGCTACGTCGATCGGAAGACGATAAAATTCCAGAGATAAAAGGAGACGATGGGAAACTCCCTAAAACCCATAACGTTTGCTTAAATACAGCTGCATGTACAAGAAGGAAAGTTAGTGAGAAATCACGAAAATACAAACTTAAACCAGTTATTTCTAAAACCATTTACCCAAAACACACAAAAACATATACCCACAGATTCACAAACTTCCACATACGCAGTTAGTATACAGAGTGATAAAAAAGATACAATTATATCACACAATCATACATTGAAAACATATATAAGATCCAAACATATTTAAATTTAAACCCCAGATCCACACAAACAAAAAATCCAAACGAAGATTATATAACCCAAAAACTACAAGGATATAATAGATTAATTGCACAACCGAAAACTAGTTCAAAATTAGTAAAAACATGTTAAAGTTATGGACTACTAAGTACAGTGTATACATACGACGGAAAGAAATTACTGGAATACCAGAGTTATACAAAGCATTTATCACATACAAAGGAGTTACAAGAGGAAACTTTTTTTATATCAAGTTTTATGTAGCACCAGCAGAGAAATTGTATGAAGAAATTAAGTCACCGATTCAAGTTATCAAGATAGGATTAACAGAAGATATGATCATACCAGAAGATATTGGACATCAAAACGAAATACCAAAAATAGATATACCAAATTTTTATGCCAATAAAAGAATAATTGGTATATCAACTATTATACAGGAGTTAGCACACAACAATTTAAATGGAAACGCTATATGGAGTTATTACGCTAGAGATCAAATTATGATATATTCAAACACCAGAGACTTAAGAAGAGAAGATATGGATGAAGTCCAGCGATGGATTTTGTCACTATTAAAACCAGAAGAACAAACTACGACAAGAGCATTGAAAAAGGAATTTATTTAAGAAGAATTATTAACCAGATATTGCAAACTTATTGGACATAAATATCCAGATCACAGATGCTCCAAATGCAATGGAGAAGATAACATAATACCATATGTTTATTTGGAATAAGGACAAGGAGATAAAGATACAAGATAAGATAAGGATGAAGAAAAGAAAAAGAGATATGGCAGACAAAGAAAAAGTGACAAAAGAAAAAGAGACATAGATAGAGATAAGATTCCTTTGTACAGTAAATAACTTTTGCTTTTTTGAAAGGCCAATGTGTATAGCCGGCCATTTGTAAAGTTTTGTTCAAAAGTCGTAAAGTGTACAGTAGACGCACTTATGTGCAGACTTAGGATTTAGTATATATAGATTGCCAAATTGTAAATGAAAGGCAGGCAATGCCAAACTAAAGTTCAAGTTAATAAACCCTCTCTCAAAATACAAAGCTCTCTCAAAGATACAAACTAAGAAAAACATATGGAAAAATCGAAAATACAATGAGATATCTCAGATAGCATGACAAACAAGAGGCAAAGGTATATTGTTTATTAAATATGCAGAATTAATTTCATATATTCCTAAATATCATATATATGATTGATTAAATTTATGTTAGTTATTATACACTAGAAATATTTGAATCATGAATTCTAGTTTGCTAGTAAACGGGAAACAGGGAGAAAACTGCTAGACTATGCCATCCCGCAGTGGAAACCGGTAGGCGAGGGATGCCGTTACGGGAGTACACAAGGTTGAGGCGCTGATAAGCAGTAATTATCCGCTAAAGTACGATGTTAGTAATGACCGGAAAACATGATAACGATACTCTAGTTTATAATAAACTAATATGAATTTAATTAGATTATGATAAGATAGGAAGGAATAACTGAAGAAAAACCTGCATAATAAAAATAAACATGTTTACATTGTACGATGAAATAAGAAGCTATAAAACTTTTATTTTATATATACTTAAAGATATAGAAATTGATGACATAAAAAGAGTTATATGGAAAAAAATATTTGAATATGATTTAGAAGATATATTGAATCAAGAATGGAATGAAATAAATTTACAAGAATTAGAAATATAAAGGATAAATATATACGATTTGGAAATAGATTCAGATTAAAATGAACTATGACTATTTAGAATATTTGATAGAAACTATGGAAAATATAAGATTATTAGAACAATTAATACAAGAGAATTTAAATATGTATCAAAGAACCCAAGATATATTATATATAAAATATATAATAAACAACCTTGAAGAAATAATTAGATTAAAACAATTATTAGAAGAAATATATATATCTTAACTTATGATGAATTCCGCACCCCTCAAAAATAAATATATATATCTTAACTTATCTTAACTTATGATGAATTCCGCACCCCCAGACCCTTGTTTGTAGTCAAATTTGCAAGTAAATCGATGTGCTCATCGCCTCGACTCAAAAAGACTTTGGCAACATTTCCTTAACATACTTCGGTTGCTTCTCGTTCCTTGAAGGCAGGAGTTTTAACATATCTGGAATGAACTAGTCTTGGTGCACTAACAGAAGCAACACATGTACTTATATCTTGCTCAATACATAACATTTATTCTTCATCTGTGTCAATATCTGCTCTTATTTCTTTGTAAATTAGAACATCATCAAATAAAATCTGCAAAACCATGATTTTCTGTGATGATGTTCTAAAATTTGAAGAAATAAGAGCAAAAATTTACTAGCATGAAGAATCAATTGTAGGTATTGAGTCAGAATAAGTGCAAGTACTGATTTTGTTAGTGCACCAAGATTAGTTTATTCTAGATAAACTAAAATTTCTTCCTGTAAGAAACAGAAGCAACTTAGCTCTCTACAGAAAAAGTTGTCAAAATCTTTTTTGGGCAAAGGCGATAAATACATAGATTTATTGGCAAAATAGAATCCCACCAAGGGTTTCCATAGATTTATGAGCAAAATAAGACCATCAATAACACATCTTAAAGTGTTTGGTTCTTTGTATTATACTCATGTACCAACTTTCAAACAGAGAAAGTTTTTGTTGTTACGTGTTTTAGGATCATCTTAGATAGGGTCATCGATTCAAGTGATTATTAGGAGATTAGTTTTATTTTAGTCATTATGCTATTAACTAGTTATAATTTGTCCTATTTTATAGGCATGTCAGTAGTCTGTTTTAGCTGTCCATGTTCTGTGTTAGTTGTATTGCCCCTCTACTTATTTAATAAACTTCAATCAAATACCATACATTGATAATGCTCACCATCACAGATGTTATCGGGATTTTCTTTGTTGTCAGTATTTTTGCACGATGGTGATATGATGGTCTATTCTATTTCAGTTTAAATTGGGTCCATGGGTTAGTTTGTGGCATGATTATCACTCCTGATTTCTAGATCTTTCAAAATTTTAATCGAAAGTTTAGTTCTTACTAATTTATCTTGATGGAATTGTCTTAAAGAGGAATTCACTTAGAGATATGAACACCTGACTGGTAGGTCATAACTTAAGCGTTTAGTATACATCAGTTATCTTCCTTCTTATTTCTTATGTTCGAGGACGAACATGATTTTTAGTGGTGGATAATGAAATGACCCAACACGTCATTTTTTTAGAATTTTTTGATAAAGTTAACGTTTTACCCATATCAATAGTTGCCCCGAGTTTGTGTTTAATTAGTCAGCGAAGTTGACTTGGAAATCTTGAACTATTGGTATAACTACGTTTATTTAATTGGTGGGTATTATTTTAGTAATTAATTTAACTAGTGGTTAATTATCCAAATCCATAATTCAATTACAATCCTATTGTAACTTAACTCAGGTATTGAAATAACCTAAATACGATTAACATTTAATAAGCAATGGTCAAAAAGGAATACAGCGTAACACAAAATGGCGGCTTCTGTTCCAGGTAATGTTCAATTGATAGATTTATTTATATAGGTACAAGTCTTAATATTATTATTATAATTATGTTGGAGTATTTGTACAGAAAAAGGAGAGAATTGCCGTTAAAAAAGATTAATATGAAATTTATTAGGATTGCACTAACGTTCTATTACTTGAGGAATTGAGAGTTTTGTTGGTTATTATGGTAAATATAGGACTAACAGTGGAGGCAATCATTAGAAAAAGTATATAAATTGAAATGTTTTGATGGTTTTAATCTGCCCCTCTCAGAAAATATAACCAATGGCGTAGTCTATTGCTGATTTGAGTTGGTGTTTATTTTTACTTTTGCTTACTGTATTGTAAATAATGTTTTAAGATATTAAGATAGGCAATTAAATAGTAGGTGTATTCTATTACTTGAAAACTTTTAAAATTATAGTAATTGGAGAAATTAAGACTTAGCCTTAGCCTTGAAATGTGGAAAATATGAGAGTTGACATGTTAATTGACATGAAGATTGAGAGTTTGATTATAATTCGGGTTAGTTTTAGGTCTAATCTAGATATATGCTAATATGAGTGTCGTTAGTTCGAACGTCTTATTGTAATTACTTATTTTAATAGATTGAATTTATTTGGAGGTTGAATGAAAGGGAAAGACTCACGTCGCAAGAGTGATAGTTCGACTAGCTTGAGGCAAGTGAATTTCTAAACTCTTGTTAAGTGTATATAATGTGTGTATTTCCTCGTGGTTTATGTTTGGGAGTAATGGGAATTTGTAATCGGTTAATTTGTCCACATTTATTAATTCTGATAATGCAAAAAGGGTAATACAATTGTTTTTGTTATGTTTTAGAATGGAGAATGATTTGAAAGACTTGTTGAATCATTGTTGATATTGTATCATGATTGTGATGTTGTGAATCGTGCAATGTTATGAATGGTCATATCCTCTTTATTTGAAGGAACATGTCATTTGCATTATTCTGAGACATGGTTGTGACAAGTGTTATGTGGATCGAGAAAGAATGAGAACTTAAAGAAGATGTGTCCTTTCGAGGGACGTATTACGTGCTGCAATGGATACAATATATTGAGGGACATATCGCAAGCCGCGATGGTTACTATTATTAAGGGATGTGTTGTGCGCCGCGACAGATGCATCGACAGATATGTCCCCCATAGGTACCGGACTAAGAGAAATCGGGTGTGTATCACTAGGTCAGACATGAATCATTATACTTGACATTGTATTCCATGACATTGCACATACTTATCATTAGTGAACTTGATATTGTGTTTTGATGATTTTGTGAATGGCTTTCTATGGAATGTGTGATTGATGAATACCGAGCTTGCTGTTGAGTTTATGTAATTTGTTAAAGTGTTGTTGTTCAGGATATGCAATTTGTCTAAGTGTTGTTGTTGAGGATATGTCATTTTTCTAAGTGTTGTTATTGATCTATGTGCTATATAAAATGTGAGCCGTCAGGTTTGGATGAGTTTCATATAGGTTGTAGTTTTGGAGGTTCGATTGAGGTGGTAGGAGTTCCCGTATTTCATCCCATTAGGTTGTGTATAGAGGTTTACTTGCGGAGTACCTTGTTGTTGGGTATTCAACCATTGCTTCTACAACTTTTTTTAGGTTACCAACTCGGACCTTTGTGATATTCTCTTCTTCCTAGGCTTCTTGGAGATTTGTGAGGTAGCTGTTTGTCATCTGAGCAGACCTTCTTACTCCTATATATGATTTTGTTCTACTATAGATACAATGTCATATGAGGCTTATATTTTCTTTTGATTCAATTGTAATATTTTAGAGGCTTGTACACATGACAACTAGATTTTGGGGTACTTTTGAGTTTATTATAGAATTCCATATTTTATTGTAATAGTTGAGTTTTAGGCAGACTTGTCTCGGATAAGACGAGTGTCATCACGTTTATTTTTGGGTCGTGACACAAATTAAAGTTGAATAAAAGTTATTCTTCATATTTAAATCATCTTGTTGTTCCAGTTTATTAATAACATTGGAAATAAACTTATGGATTATTCTAATAGGTTTCTTGGGATTGCCAATAGGATAAGGATACTTGGAAATGAACTTACTTATAATAGAATAGTTTAAAAGATAATTGTAACTTTACCTAATAGATATGAGAATACTATTGCTTCATTGGAAAATAATAAAGATCTGACAAAGCTTAGCTTGGAAGATTTATTGACTACACTGCAGGCACAAGAACAACAAAGAATGATGAGGCATGAGGGATCCATTGAGGGAGCCTTGCAATAAAAGTTGCAGTTCGGTTCAAATGCCAACGGAAAAAAAGAAAAAGGAATGAAAGGAAATCATTGAAACTACGAAGAGGCCACTACGACAAATGGTGTTGCTACAACTAAGAATAACAGAGAAGAAAAATATCCTCCCAACCCAACACTGTGTGAGGAGAAATCATCCACACATTATTGGAGAAAATCTGATATTAAATGCATTAAGTTTCACAAGCTTGGTCATGTTGATTATCTACAAAGAGAAGGTATTACAACAACCAAATGATGCACATATTTCAGACAAACAAGAAGAAGAGCAACTATTTCTAGCCACCTATTTCGCTGTCATAAATTCAAGTGAAAGTTGGCTTATTGAAAGTGGTCGTACAAACTACATGATCGGTGATGAAAATCTTTTCAGAGAACTTGATCGATCAATTAAATCAAGAATAAGAATCAGAAATGTAGAATACCTCCTTGAGAAAGGAAAGGGAGTTACTAATGTACAAAACTTATATATAAAGTTTTATTTGTTCCTGAAATTGATAAGAGCTTATATTAAGTGTTGGGCAACTCCTAGAAAATGGACTTAAATTATTGTGTGAAGATAAAGCGTGCCTGATCAGTGATTCTAATGGTCAGGAATTTTCTGAATTAAAATTTAGGGAAAAAGTTTTTCCTTGAATCCATTGAACGAGGAACACGTAGCTTTTTCAAGGTAGCTCATTGTAGCACAAACGTGGCACAAAAGGTTGAGGCACTTCCATTACAAAGCTTTATTTTTTATGCAAAGGAGAAAAATGGAAAATGGTTTACCTAACTTGGAGGAGAACTCCTCCAGATGTAGGGCTGCATGGTTGGAAATCACACTAGAATTCCATTTAAAACTTCAACTTGGTGAGCTACAGAAAAGTTGCAACTCATTCTCATACCGATCTTTGAAATACCTCAAGATATTTTAATGTCTATGTTTTTCTTAACTACAAAAAAGGGTCGTTGAGGGGTTTTTTTTATCGATTTGTGGGAGCTTTTGTTGTGCATCTTATATTCCTAACATACTTAGAATAAAACTTTGAAGAGCTTTGTAACACAACAAAACTGAAGAGCATTTTCACAACTAGAAAATTAAAAGTAGTAGTAAAACTAGAATCAGAAACATATTAGGAAAAAAATATACGAAATATTTTTCTTAAAGAAGAATTCTTGTTAATATGTGTCTAAAGAATCTTACTGATTCAAACAAATTTTTCAGAAACACAAAGTTTACCAAAGTTTAATGAACAAGTGAAGAACAAAAGAATAGAAGAAATAAAATTAATTTGCAAATCTAAAATTTGTAACACATACATGAATCTAAAAAACAGAAAGAAGATCAAGCCCACTGAATGCACAATGTCCCCTTAAGGAAATTATTTCCCTCTAGTATCCGAGGTTTGATTTTGAATATGTCCTCCCAGGGTAGAATGATATCAATCACCAGTTTATTGATAACCAAATCGCTGGTGTCAGCGAGCCACTCAACGACAGTAAAGTACACGTACTGAGAAAAGGTTCTTATTGTGCCTTACCGGAAAGCTCATAAACCTTTGGAAAGTCACAATCTTTCAGAAAGGTCGTCACCTTTCATAAAAGTTACAACTTTTCATAAAAGTCGCAACTTTTCATAAAGTCATAACTTTTCATAAAAGTTGCAACCTTTCATAAAAGTCATAACTCTTCATAAAAGACACAACTCTTCATTTTTCATTCACACCTTTTAAAACCCAACAATCCTAGCATGAATGGGCATGAATCCAAGACAAAGAAATGGGAAGTATGTGTACTTTACAAGCAAGAACTAATTGCATCTGGATAAGTAGGGTTTTCCTTTGATTTTTCGTAGTGAACATATATCAGAAATACTCGGTTAATCGGTAGATGCAATATCTTTGAACCGTCGAGCTTTGGTGTATACTTAGAAAACCATATGTCACACAATTAACCCTTTAACATTTATGATTCTTACGATTGTGTTCGTTTCAGCCATGAACCACTCCTGGTTTTATGAGTGTATATCACACTCACATAGGTGATTTCTAACTATGTTATCGCGTAGATACACTATTTGGTCAAATCTACCAAACTTAGCAAATCATTAAAACCATTAATATTTATTAACTCATTAACAAACCTTTATGTTGTATCCTTGTCCCTGAGCATTGTCTTCATCATGAGAATGGATATAGTTTTTTTGAAAATAATGAACCGTCATTCACAAAGTTCTCCATGATGACTTTTCCTAAGCCGTAAATTTATTCCCTTAGATTCTCTTTCAACTTTCTCTCTAGTTAGGACTTTTTTTAAAGTGGAGCCGACACATTATCCTTTGACTTTACGTAGTCAGTTCTGATAATTCCACAAGAGAGCAATTTTCGAACAGAATCATGTCTATGTCATATATGACGAGACTTTACATTATACATCATGCTCCATATCCTACATATTGCATCTTGACTATCAAAGTATATGAATACTAATACCAATGGTTTGTGCTAAAAATGAATATCTATAAAGAAATTTCGGAGTTTTTCAACTTATTCACCGACTTTATCTAAAGCACCTAGCTCATAGATCATTAGAGCTAGTGACACATGTCTCTTTTGAAATATTTCCAAGAGAGTTCTCCTCAACCAAGAGAAATACATATCCACTCGTGGATTTAACTTCATTTGTCCAATGATCCAATTTGCATCACTATATCCTTTCAATACTGCTGGATATTGTTATAATGCATGACATAATTTTAAGTAATATTTTAAATACTCCAATACTCTATTCATTGCAATATAATAAGTTTATTTGGTATCACTTGTGAATGGACTGAGTTTATAATAGCAAATGTTATATCTAATCGCGCACACTTCATGATATAAATCATACTTCCCAATACTCTAATACAATCTAATTGTGAGTCACTTTTGCTTTTTCACTTTTTTTTTTAAATGCAAAGCTCACACTTATTGGAGACGTGACAATATTGACGTCCACATATTTTAACTAGTCATGTACCTACATGAGACGTGAAAACGCTAAACATTATGGAGTTCTAAGGATTCTTATATCTAACATCTCATTCACAACTCCAATAATTTCCATTCCAAAATATCTTTCTAGCATATGTTTAATAGCATTTGTGTCATTAGTGTCTCTATTAATGATCAACATATCACCAATTTACAAAAAAACAATGACCTTATGATTTTAACGTGAACACACTTATCACTTCCATCATTCTTAAATCCATTTGCCAACATGGTTTGGTCAAATATCTTATATCATTGTTTTAGTGCTTGTTTTAGTCCACAATGTGACTTAACAAGTTCGCACACTTTCTTTTATTTACCAGGAACCACAAAACCCTCGGGTTATTTAATGTAAATTTCTTCCTCCAATTCTACATTTAATAAAGTTCTTTTCACATTCATTTGATGAATTGAGAGGTCATATACCACAACTAATCTGAATGGATGTAATTCTAGTTACTAATGAGTATATATATCAACAAGATCAAAACCTTATTTTTGTCTAAAGCCTTTGACACGAAGTCTTGCTTTATATTTTTTTAATAGTTTCATCAACTGTTATTTTCCGTCTGAAGATTTACTTTGAACCCAAAGGTTTATTTTCTGCAAGAAGATCAATTAACTTGCAATATGGTTGCTCAAGATTGCATCAATCTCATTATTGTAACCATCTTTCCTAAGGATTAGTCTACAGAAGACACAAGAAATGTTACAAAATCATATTCGAAGGAAGTAAATATCCTTTGACATTTACTACGCCTCTCAATATCTTTATTAAGTACATTATCTTTTTTCCTTTCCTAGGCCTTTTAGACCCTTCTCTAGACTACTCAAGTCTAATTTTACAGTCCACAATCATTAGGTCATATTAATTCTTTTAGTAATAGGAACTTGGACTTTGGATAGACACCCCCACACTTTGAAATATTTCAAATGGGATTTCCTTACATTCCATTTCTCATATGGAAAATATTATATCATGAACAAACAAAAGCTCTTTCCTTTTAAAAAGACAACTTTTTGTTGTTCCCTTTTGCAGTAAGAATAGTTCCTCCATACAAGTTTTACGGTAAACTCGAACTTATAAGTAATGCATCCATCATTTATTTCAACGTTCAATTTTTATTAGATTTAGGTGAAAAGGGCAATACTTTGATGGATAATTCCACTTTCCAAACATACTTTTGCATAAGGAGATTTGTACTCTCCATTCTCATCACTTTTTATATTTTTTTCAAACTGATTTTCAACTTCAATATTACATTGTCTAGACATTTCTATTGCTTAATCCTTACCATTCAACAAATAGATATAGTCATTCCTAATCAATTGTCGATAAAAGTAAAGAGATATCTTTCCCACCATGAGATGGTGTTGACTTCATATCACAAATGGCAGTGTAAATAAATTCAAGGAATTATAATTCCTTTCAACAAATTCATAAGAACGCGCTGCATACTTCGATTCCACACTAACTTAACATTTTTATTTATTGCACAAGTGTTCATGTCACAAACATTGACTCAAGCAAGTAAGAACAAGTAAAAATATTGAGTTTGAAAAGCTATTCGCGGGGTAGGTTTTTACTCACTAATATGTTGTTCCTTTTTCTTAGAATTTTGTGTGATACAAACATTGTTTAGATTGTCAAATTTCATTTTTCAAAAGGACCTTTTCATAACTTTCCATTTGATTGTGTTATAGAACTACCCATAAACCAAGTTTCATCAGGTCTAATAAACGCAATATAGTCCAAATGTTTCTTTTACAAAAACATAACAACTGACTATTCACCAATATTCATGTCTATGCAAATATTTTTATTATAATAAACATTTCTTTTCATGAAAAATCACAACATTTAAAGTGACATTTTTTTAATAAAAAACACAGTTATTCTAAACAAGTATATAGATAATTTTATATTTTTATACTAGTCACACTATATACTACAAATAGAGAAATTCAACAACCACAATACCAAATATACTCTTAAGAATTTTGTATATTTTGCTCCATGTTAAATTAGACACTAAGTCTTATCATAAGAAAAGAACCCCCACATTTTAAATGTGATCTCAAAAATATTTTTCAAGTATTTGAAAATATTTTTTCCACATACTTTCTTGGACTTTCAAAATGTCATTGACAATATGAAACCTCTTATGGAAACATTATTCTAAAAAAGAATTATATTCCTTCAACTCTCTTTGACAATGTTTACACTATGTCAAAGTTTATTCCATAGAGGCACAAAATCACAAACTCTAAGTCACTGAAATTTTTCTTCTATCACAAATAGACATACCACTTAGTATTCTAAATACTAACAATAAGGACAAAAAAATTGTACAATTTATTTCTATATAATATTGAAGTTTATAGAAAATCAAAAATACAACACTGAGTTATTATGTGAAGTTTTCATATTCTTCAAACCAATTGCATAGTCTAATTTATCTAGAGTAGATAATCACAAAAGTTTTTATTCTACAAAAATCAGACACACTA